GACTTTACAACTTTAATACCGTTCACTATTATTTCTGGAAGAAAACTTAAAAGTATCTTATTGGAATTGTCTGTGATAAGGAATAGGCTTTAATTGATTATTGATGCTTTCCCCCTTGTTTCTATAAGGAGAATAAAAAACAGCTTATTCCTTAGACAAGTTTTCATTATGTGCTTCCTCTGCATGGCCAATAACTTCCTTTCTAAAATAGGAACTGCTCTAGTGTTACACTCCATTTAGAATTTCTGTGATTCTGTAAACACTAAACAAATTCAGGATCACTCCACTGGCAAGTGGGAGTATCTGAGTGCATTTGCATATCCCATTATAATCTTTACTATCACGAGATTTATCTGTTTTCTTTGTATCATCAGCTAGTCCTCACCAGCACAGAACCCTTTTAATTCCCCAGGAACAACAGGAAGACCACTCGCTTCCAGATTACTCCGTTTTTAAGTTTAACAAAAATGTGATTTTTAAAAATATGAAGAATACTGTATCAGACAGAAGTATGATAGAACGTCACTGATCAACACTCAGGGGAAAGGCCCACTGTAGATCGGTGAAGTTTTATACTAGAGAGTTTTGAGTTTGGGGAAGAGACATCAGCATTGAGGGCTAATTAGAATTAATATATATTTATAATGTATTTCAGGGAGCGACCAGAGGTGATGGGGGTCTTGCCCCATGTCTCATGGAGAACTAGATGTTACCCACACCAGTCGTGACTCTGGCAGAATCTCACTTGGCTGTTTCATTCTGAAAAACTCAACATTCAGTTTTTGGACTAGGTTCGCATTTTGCTGCAGTGCAGTTTAGTCAGGTTCTCCTGTCTTGTAAAGCGAGATGTTTGATTGCAGTATTAACAGAGTTAGGAGAGAGATTCCGGTATTAAAGATTGTTGTCTTCTTTTCCTTTTTTGAAAATATGGAAGATGAAAAGCCTTAACTACTTTCATGTGAGAAACTCCAAGAGAATGACCTGGCCCAGTTCTGACTATAAGAAAAGAGAGTGTAAAAAGGAAAAAATAAAAATCAGGAAGGTGTGAACATTGAAAAATGTAGTAATCACTCATGGTTGCACTCCATTGTATATCGTTATCAGACAGTGACAGTATGTTTCCTTCTTTTGTGTACAGTCCCAAATTTTATATTATGTTAATGTAGATTTATGTGTGAATTTAACACAGAGAGGTTTTTTTCTGTCATAAGCAGTATTCTTACACATTCATACACTGGCTGGGTATGGTATTTTCTAACGCTGTGATCCTGTCTCCACTGGCCAAGGAAACTGTTAGATCCTCTTCACAGGTCATGTGTGATGATGGCTCATGTCTGAACATGGCTCTTGTTAGCAGCGTGCATACATTAATTCCTTGGCCATTAGAGGCTTGATACTGCTCCCATTTAAGTCGGTAGTAAAAGTCTCATTGACATGGAGGGAGCAGAATCAAGCCGTAGAAGTAGGAGCTTACACGTCTGTTTGTTTACTTTGTTTACTTTGCTTTAATTAATGTTATAGGAAGCATGATCTAGTAGTTTGATTAAAGTCCAGGACTGGGACCCAGGAGATCTGCCACAGACTTACCGTGAGGCCGGTCATTTAACATTCATGCCTCAGTTGCCCCAGCTTCGGAATATGGATGATAATACTTGCACTGGGGAGTTGTGAGGCTTAATTCATTAATGTCTGTGTAGGACTTTAAGATCATTGATGGAAAGCTTTATTATCCCTGCTGATAAAACTTGTGGATGACACAGACTGGCAGAGTGGTAAATAATGGTGAGGACAGCACAGTCATAGAGTTATCTGGATCACTTGGTAAACTGGACCCAGTCAAACAAAATGTATTTTAATGCAGCCAAATGCAGTTATACATCTAGGAACAAGGAATGCAGGCCAGATCTATAGAGTGGGGAACTGTATCTTGGAAAACAGTGACCCTGAACAGGATCTAGGAGTCATAAAAGACAAACAACTCGACATAGTTTCCAGTGTGATGCTGTGGCAAAAAGGGCTAGTGTGATCCTTGAATGTATAAGCAAGAGAGTAGGAGTAGGGAGGTGATTTTAACCCTGTATATGGCACTAATGAGACTGATACTAGACTATTGTATCCAGCTCTCGTATCCACATTTTAAAAGGATTTTGAAAAATTGGCAAGGGTGCAGAAAAAAGACACAAAGATGATTCAAGGGCTGGAGAAAATGCCCCACAGTGAGAGACTTAAAGGAGCTCAATCTGCTTAGCTTATCAGAAAGAAGATTGAGAAGTTACTTGGCTACATTGAATAAGTACCTATAGGGGGAGAAAATATTAACTACAAAAGGACTCTTCAATCTAGTAGAGAAAGGCATAACAAGAGCCAATGGTGAGCAGAAGCCAGACAAATTCAAATGAGAAATAAGGTACAGATTTTTAGTACTGAAAGTGATTAACCATTGGAACAAATTACCAAGGGAAGGTGGATTCTCCATTTCTTAATGTCTTCAAATCAAGACTGAATCCCTTTTCTAGAAGATATGCTTTAGCCGAACATTAGTAATTGGGCTCACTACAGGATGACATTTAAGGGCCTGTGATATACAATAGGTCAGACTTGGTGATATAATGTTCTCCTCTTGCCTTAAATGCTATGAAATTATTGAAGAGTAAAGCGTTATTATTATTATTTCATTTTATAATAGTGAAGCTAGCCTAAGTTGTACTTTATAATAAGATCATATTGCCTTGAAGGCAATATTTGTTTTCTCTTATTTGTTTAAATTAGAGATGGCATGGCCATGATATACCTATTAGCCCATACAAATGTTAATCACCAAGTGGCAGGCTATCAGAAGTTGTCGTTTCTTTCTTGACATCTCTCCCAGAAGGTGCTTGCTGACTTTGAGAGTGCTGTTTCCAATAGTTACATCACTGTGTCAGCCACTCAGGAGGATCTGAAAGGCATTTTCCCTCTCAATACTATTGGTGGTTCTAGAGAGAGGATTTCAAAGAGAGTAATGTCAGAGAAAATGGCACCTGGCTATTTTCTGGAGAGATGAGGGTTGAGAGTGAAATGTGTGATTTACGAGCAGATAAGAGTTGCTGGGTAGGTCCATCTCTAGTGTAAATCACGGGGTGTGGTGGGGTGAATTTAAGAACTAGAGTTGTTTGAAATGCCCCAATAAAACCCAATGGAATGGGTTTTACTTAGTTTCATTTTGAACTCAAAACGTAACTTAGTTTTGTTAAAAAATCATAAGCTTGGTCCAGGTTTTATTGGATGAGTTCACTTTAAGTCCACGCTTCTCATAATCTACCTGGAAAAACTTCTTAGCTTTAGAAAATATCATGTTTTCAACTTAACCCCTCGCCCTCCTTCAGGCTCCAGTGTTTGAAAATCTCCATGGAGAGCACTATCCAATTTTCAGAGATTCTCCTGTTGTTTTTCTGCACACCCATCTCATCCCAGAAAGATTTTTCTAGGGTGCAGAGCCCTGTCAACCTGCAGCAGAGAGACAAGAAAGCTTCCTGTTGCCACCATTGTGGTGTTACGCGTGGAATAAGAGATGCCCCAAACTCCTTTGCATGGTTTTTTTAGCTAACCATGTAAGGCACTGTGGAGCTTCTTAGGCCTAAATGTGTCTAACTGCAAACAGAGGTGCAATTGCAGCTGCGGTAAACATACCCACACTAGCTTCACTGTGTACAACCCCGCCTGGAACCCTGGGTATGTACTCACGTTGCTAGCCTGTGCCAGGGTTCATGCCAGTGCATCGTCACTGCTAGATTCAAGCTAGTGAGAGTATTCCTACTCAAGCTGCAGTCACACCTCTGATTGTCATGTGGAATTACTCTAAGTGTACATCTATACTGCAGCTGGAAGTGGTAGTTCAGAGCTCAGTGGATGTACATGTGCTAGCTCTGTTTGAGCTAGCATGCTAAAAATAGCAGTGTGGCTGCAGTGGCTCGAACTAGCTGCTCAAGTACCATCTGAAATCCTCGGTACATACTCAGGTGGCTAGCCTAAGCTGCTGCCCATGCTACCATGACCATGCTGCTGTTTTTCGCACACGAGCTTGATCAGAACTAGCGTGTGTACATCTGCCTGAGCTGTGGTATAGGCTTAGCCTAAAGGTCAGTACTTCAGTTGTGGGAGTAAGTGCTGCATGGTGAGATGTATGTGTTGCATACCAGGACAGCTTTTCTGAGTAAGATTTGGGGAGAGAGAGTGAAACAGCAGGCTTTCTGGTTGTGCCCTCTTCTCTCCTTCATGAAAATTCAACAGTAAAGAATGACTGCTAGAGGCCTGTGAAGACTCCAGGAGGAAGAGCAGGCAGTAGAGTCCTCTGCCGTGGAAGATTTCAGACCTTGGGTGGAGGAAGTTGCAAGCCACATTGAGCCTAAGAGGAGTTCTTGTGGTAAAGGAGTGTCCCAGTCCTATTAGAGTAGAGGAGGTTTATGGATGTGAAGTGCAAACTGGGCTGACACTCACTGGTTTCATAGAAAACTAGAGAATTTTGCATGAATTCACTTTGAGTTTTGAGTCTGTCCGAACCCTAACCTCTAGACAAACCTGAAGAGATTTGAACCTCTTTGAACAAAATCTGCAAGGCTAGGTTAGCAAAACCCCTATGAAGTGAAGCAGGCAGCTTTTTCACTAGTTAAGGGTGTGATGGGATGACTCCTCAGTATTCTTTAGTTACTAATTCAATATCTGAAATAAATTTAATCCCTTACAGACTATGTGCATTTTAAGATTCATTCAAGCAAAGAATCATAACCCGTTGTTTTTGCCACACACCTGAAAACTGTCTTTGTTTGCAAGGAGTTGTTAAAGCAGGGGGCTGTTTCCTTGTTTTTAACCACATAGGAGTGAACACTTCATGGCTGATAGACATTCTTTTTTCAGACTGGGTATATTCTCTCCTTATTCAGGAAGCTGGTGGCTTTTCAATGTACATGTGTTAGCCCCATTGTCTTTCTTCTTTCTACCTTCCTGCTTGTTTTCTTTTGCAGATGTCAGCAGTCATCACCAAGTCAGGGGACCTGAAATTTATCTCAGAGCATGACACAGATATAGACTCACCTGTGACACAGTAAGCAACAAATCATTCAAAGCAATTTGCAGTGTTACTTCTACAACTGCTCTTAGGAAACTGAGATATTGTCTGGGGGGAGGGCGAGGGGGAGGTTGTTTTGTTCTTTTAAGCGAGACAGCAAAAAAATAAGTTAAATTTAGGATAATTGGTCTAGAGAAGTGTTTAAGAAAAATAAAGTGAAAAGGAAATAATGGTTTGTTGTACTTTTTTGCATAGGTATGTTACAGAGCTACTGTAAGGAATATAGTGTAAGGGAATTGAGCTGTAATCCAGAGGTGCAGGATTGCCATGAAACATCCCTCAGCTCTTTTGATTAACCCATATTGTTATGAGCTGCCAACTACTTTTTGCACCTTCTAAGAATTAATTAATGTAAATTGAATGAGTTTGTCACATGTAAGGAAGACAAGCCAGCCAGCATCTTTCATTATTACATTTGTATTTTAAGTGTGTGTGTGTGTGTGTACACATATATATGTAGCTATACAATGTGTGAAACTTTGAAATAAATAAGATCTAAACATTTTGCACAAGATCTTCCATATGGATGCTTAAATACTTGTTTTTCCATGTCATCTTCATGTTATCCTAACCATTATTTGAAGTATTTGCATTCATTTATTTTTGAAGAATACCTAGAAAATACTTACATTCCTTGTCATTAAAGAGCTGATCATATAATAACCTATCCTTGAGTGTTAGAGATGGTTTTATATCTCTAATTTTAACCATGTCTCAAAACCCTCATTGCTAGGGTTCTGTCTTTGTGTCTAGATTCAGAAATAAATGGTGAAGGGAAAGTTTGCTTAACGCTCATGTGCCATAAGAAAGGGGTCTGTAAAACTGCACCGTGACACAATATGAGGTTGCATTTTGAGCATAATTGTATTAACAGGATTGTGTTCAAGAAGAAAATGCATGATTTAGTAGGAGTACACACAAACTTGATACAATTTTTTAAAAACAGGACTCGGACCACAGGATGACAGGACTGTATAGTTAAAACTTCAGTAAAGGTGATTTTTTTTTTTTAGCGTCTTCAAAGTAGTGTAGGAGCAGGGATTTATAAAATATGGAATTCACAAAGAATATGATCTAATTCAGGGTTTGGGGGGCATTACTAGGTATAAAATGTTCATTTAAATGAGAAATAAACACGTCATGGGAGTAGGTCACATTAGCAATCTGGTTCAGATGCTGGATCATATGAGGGAAATAAAGAGCTTAAGAAACCTTTCAACTGCAATTCAGAAAGATGTTGGATGCCTGAGTCATCGGAATTTAAATTCTAGCAGTCCCTCTTCCTGCGCAGCAGGGAGTAGGAGTGTCACAGAGATGCCACTCCAAACATGAGAGGGACTGAAGGACATGCTACTCAAGAGGGGGGAAAGACAATAACAGAAAATGTGGAAATGGCAAAGGTGCTTAATGACTTCTTTGTTTCTGTTTTCACCAAGAATGTTGGTGGTGATTGGATGTCTAACATAGTGAATGCCAGTGAAAATAAGGTAGAATCAGAATCTCAAACAGGGAAAGAACAAGTCAAAAATTACTTAGACAAGTTAGATGTCTTCAAATCACCAGAGCCTGATGAAATGCATCCTAGAATACTCAAGGAACTGACTGAGGAGCTATCTGAGCCATTAGCAATTATCTTTGAAAAGGCATGGAAGACGGGAGACATTCCAGAAGACTGGAAAAGGGCAAATATAGTGCCCATCTATAAAAAGGGAAATAAGGACAACCTGGGGAAATACAGACCAGTCAGCTTAACTTCTGTACCCGGAAAGATAATGGAGCAAATAATTAAAAAATCAATTTGCAAACACCTAGAAGATAAAAAGGTGATAAATAACAGTCAGCATGGATTTGTCAAGAACAAGTTGTGTCAAATCAACCTGATAGCTTTCTTTGACAGAGTAACAAGCCTTGTGGATAGCGGGTATATCTTGACTTTAGTAAGGCTTTTGATACTGTCTCGCATGACCTCATAAACAAACTAGGGAAATACAACCTAGATGGCGCTACTATAAGGTGGTTGCATAACTGGTTGGAAAATCGTTCCCAGAATTACCACTTTCAGCTGCAGTATAGATGTACACTTAGGGTAATTCCACATGACAATCAGAGGTGTGACTGCAGCTTGAGTAGTTATCAGTGGTTCACAGTCATGCTGGAAAGGCATAACAAGTGGGGTCCTGCAGGGATTGGTTCTAGGTCCGGTTCTGTTCAATATCTTCATCAATGATTTAGATAATGACATAGAGAGTACACTTATAAAGTTTGCCAATGATACCACGCTGAGAAGGGTTGCAAGTGCTTTGGAGGATGGGATTAAAATTCAAAATGATCTGGACAAACTGGAGAAATTGTCTGAAGTAAATAGGATGAAATTCAATAAGGACAAATGCAGAGTACACCACTTAGGAAGGAACAATCAATTGCGCACATACAAAATGGAAAATGACTGCCTAGGAAGGAGTACTGCAGAAAGGGATCTGGGGGTCATAGTGGATCACAAGCCAATTATGAGTCAACAGTGTAACGCTGTTCCAAAAAAAGCAAACGTCATTCTGGGATGTATTAGCAGAAGTATTGTAAGCAAGACACGAGAAGTAATTCTTCCACTCTACTCTGTGCTGATTGGGCCTCAACTGGAGTATTGTGTCCAGTTTTGGGCACCACATTTCAGGAAAGATGTGGACAAACTGGAGAAAGTCCAGAGAAGAGCAACAAAAATGCTTAAAGGTCTAGAAAACATGACCTATGAGGGAAGATTGAAAAAATTGGGTTTGTTTAGTCTGGAGAAGAGAAGACTGAGAGGGGACATAACAGTTTTCAAATACATAAAAGGTTGTTACAAGGAGGAGGGAGAAAAATTGTTATTCTTAACCTCTGAGGATAGGACAAGAAGTAATGGGCTTAAATTGCAGCAAGGGCGGTTTAGGTTGGACATTAGGAAAAATTTCCTAACTGTCAGTGTGGTTAAGCACTGGAATAAATTGCCTAGGAAGGTTGTGGAATCTCCATCATTGGGGATTTTTAAGAGGAGGTTGGACCAAACACCTGTCAGGGATGGTCTAGATAATACTTAGTCCTGCCTTGAGTGCAGGGGACTGGACTAAATGACCTTCCAAGGTCACTTCCAGTTCTGTGATTCTATGTCATTACTGTCCTGTTTGGGCAGGCAGCAGTGCTGCAGAGAAGGTTAGTTCTCAGGCTTTGAGGATGCTGAGGCCATTTGAACCTGATAATAGGAGAGGGAGAGATACTCCAGCTCAAAATCTGCTGCTGCACCTTGACAGGAAGGAACTAATTTAGAAGGGAAGGGGATTAAATCAAAAGATGGGCAGGCAAGTTTTGTACAATGCTCCTTTCTCAGGGACACATTAGGGTTTTTTAAACCTTTAGTTTTCTTCCTTATGTTTTGCCTTTTCTAACATCATGGAGAGAGCTGCTTTTGAGCCTAAAACAACATTCTTCTCGAGCTCCTGTGCCATCTTGAAAGAAACAGGAAAGCAGCCAGTAGTGCATGTAAATATAGCTGCAAAGAAAGAGATTGAGAAGTTATTCCACACAAAAATTCCCGTCGTAGACAAGAGTTCAGTCATAAGAGATAAAAACACAGGCAGGATTCAGGAGATTGATCTGTGGGTCAGAGTCCTTGAAAATACATTATCTGGACTGGATGCCAAGATTCATGATCTCTTAAGACAGCAGTGCCTACCTTATTGAGACAGCACGGAAGGATAATGTTGTTCATTCATTTCCTATTGTTCTTCGACTAGCCCCTGCATGTTCCCACTCATGGGATGTGCTGGAGTGCAGCTCCTGAGGTGGAACATTTCAGAACAGTTTCCTCCAGAGCGCTCTCATGCCTCCTCCTCCCTGCCTTCACTGTTCCTGAATATTCTGAGCGGGAGGCTATAAAAAGGAGTCATGGCATTCCAGCCACCTCAGTTCCTTCCAAACACAGCAGCAGAAAGACCAAGAACCTCTCCAGATTGATCCATCCTCTTTGAGGACTCAGTGCCCTAGATAGATTTTTTTAGTTAAGCTAAAATTTCTAATATTAATCCTATTTGTTTTCTTTCTTAAAAGTATTTCTTTTTTTAGTTTTTATTAGTTCCAACACCTCAGTTCAGGTGTCTGTGGCAGATCTGAAGAGGAAGAGACCAGGATTTAAGAGTTGTGCCTCTTGTTGTGCTGTATTCCCACTTTGAATGCCCATACCAGGTGTCTGGCTTGCTTGGGGGAAGGAATGCTCTCCTGCATGGTACACAGTCTGCAGCACCTTCATCCCAAGAGCTCACAAAGAGTGTCAGAGCCAGCACCAAGCTTTAGTACTTCTGGAGGCGCTAGCAGCCAAACCCTACCCACCTCTGTGAGTGCAGAGAGGCCCATGTCAGCCCCTACCCCTTCAGGCAATAAAAAGCTCAAGATGCTGCTGAAGGTACTGTCAAAGGATCCTAAGCCATCAGATCCCAGTTCAAGACACAAATGGAACCCCATATGTGTTAGCAGAGTCAGTCCTAGTGGGAGCACCCCTTCACATCCAGTACCTCTGTTCCAGATAAGATTATGGTGTGAGATATGGCACCTGTTAGGAGGGCGGAGCACCATTCCCAATCCCTCTTGGATCCTTAGGTCAGTTATGAAAACACCCTGGGCCAAAGGTTAAGGCCATGGCACAGTGCAAATGCCTATAGAAGTGTCATGCCCCTAATGCAACAACCATATCAGTTCTGGATCTTGGTTCTGACTCCTTGGTGCCATCAACAGAGATCAGATCCTCAATCTAACATTGAATTAGATTGTGACAGATAAGTTAAATTACCATTTCTGTTCACAAGAAAGCGTATCAGGGCAAATGCTACATAGATGCTCTACACAGTTCACATATATATAGACCATGCTCTTACCCCAGTAGGTACTATGATAGGGAACCTGAAGCAAAATATTGGCAGGACTGACAATTCCCTCCTTGTGTCAGATGAACTTACTGGTCCTCACCTAGGTGTTATGGGGATAGTGAACACACTTGTCCTTACAGGGATCAGTCCCCTCCTAGAGGTCAGGGGAAGCTTCATACATTGAATCTGCTGCTCCCATATCAATCTGCATCACTGGGCTATCAGGACCACTTCCCATCAGTAGTCCCAGAAACCCTTTCAGAGGAAGAACCAATGGGACCCATGGAATTCCAGGACACACATCTAGAGCCTGCTGATGGGACCTTTCCTGATGATAATGTAGAAGTTGCTTCAGCATCTTCCCCATCAGAAGATGTCATTCAGTTTCATGAACTGTTGGTCACAATGGCTTCAACTTCACCTCTCAATTGCAGGAGTGTGAAGATATGCTACATGAAATGCTATATACATTTACAACACATTATGCAATAGACCTAGCCTCCCATTCAGATGCTCACTTTGGTACAATGGTACTTCAGTCATTATTTAATTAGGACACCACGTCCCACCTTCCTCACATGTCAGAACTGCATATCAAATTATTCCATGAGTGGGGATGTACACAGGCCACTAGAAGAAGAGGAAAAAATGAAGGTCACTCACCTGGAACTGGAGATCTTAAAGATGGGCCCTGCACGTTCACAGTCCCTGCCTACCTTCCTATTTTCCCCAAAGTCCTAATGTAATCTTGGACCTGAGGAGGAGGTGGTGGAAAGAGTTGTGGTGGCCAGAGTGCCTTGCCCCTTTTTTTATAGCCTCCCGCCCAGAATGTTCAGGATCAGTGAGGGTGAGGGTGCTCCAGCAGGCACTGCTGTCGAACATTTCGTGCTCAGAGCCATAGGCACCAACTCTGTGGGTGCTCTGGGGCTCAAGCACCCACAAAAAAAAAAAAGGGGGGGGGGAGTTCTCAGCACCCACAAGCCACCAGTAGGTGGCATGAGTATATACATGGCGCACAGTGAAGGTGGAAAGCACCCACTGGCAAAAACAAAAGTCAGCGCCTGTGCTCGGAGCTGCACTGCCAGCACATCCCGGGGGGGTGGATGTGCACAGTTCATCTCAAAAGAGCTCTGTTTACAGGAGAATAACCTTCATTTCTTCAGCAAGACTACCATTTGAAGGGCTTACATATGAAAACTTATTGCACTAGAGCAGTATCTCCAACATCAACTATTGTTCTGCCTTGCAATTTCCAGGGCAGCTCCATGAAGTTCTTTATGTACTTTGGACTTCAGTCATCCATGCTTATTATTTATTCATGTGTACTGTGGTAGCACTTGGAGTCCTGGTCATGGACCCAGACCCCATAGTGCTGAGCACTATGCAAACACAGATCAAAGAGATGGTCCCTGATCCAAAGAGCTTACAGTCTAAACTAAGTCATTATTTAAGTAAGGTTACATCAACTTCTGCCCAGAACAGAGGGTCCATGACTTTGCCTTGATGAGGGTTGCAGCACTATAATGCACTCAAATTCCTGCTCTATTTGGGGGTCTGCAGATGGCCATCACAACCCATAATTGGGTGGCAGCAGTTGGGGAGGGTATATAAGGAAATGGACTTGATTCATGGTGTGTTTGGTGCTTATGTGAAGTGCCCAGTCCATTAGTGGAAATGAAAGCAGCTTGCATTTCTGTAAATTCATCCTAGTTCAGATACTTCAATGATCAAATGAGTTACTCCACTTTGCATGATTTTCCTAGAGTAGGTGAATGAATAAATAAACCAGGAATCTCTCTTTGACTGGAATATTGTGGAAATCAAAGTTGGAGGATGAAAAATATTCTGTAATGGCTCTTTGGAGGAGGCCAGAGGGTTGGTAATTTGACATTTTTAAATAATTAAACTTATTGATTACTCAAGGCTCTAGTTAGTTTTAAAAATCATAGGCAGCTGTCATCAAACAGGACTGTTAGAACATATGTTGCAAAGCAAACCAGTGGATTTGGAATAGAGACCACCATACTTGGATCTAGTGCTTTTGTCTGTTTTGGTTCTGCAGTAGCACAGTAGTACTTACAGCTGTTTCACCACTATACCCAGGGGGAAAAGGCAGACAATTGTTTTAGCATGTCAGCTGTGGGTGGAAATAGCTCTAAACTTTAGCTAATTCTGTATGTTTCTTATCCTCCTTCTCTCCCCCTCCCCAATAGAGTTACAAAGAAGAAGAAAAGGATACTGAAGAATGAAACAATGGAAAATCCGCCAAATTTAATGGCTCTTGACACGCCTGTATCATCAAGTACCACTAACAGTGTTGAAAACAAACCTAGAACACATGGGTTAGAACTGAAGAAGAAGAAAAGAGCAGTGAAAAACTCAAGTGCAAGTGGAAAGACAAATGTTGCCTTTGAGCCCGACAGTTGAAGTGTAGTCATCATTTAACTCCGGATATAGGTGTTGCATTCAGAATATTATATTCAAAAAAATGGATTTGAATGGGATTTATGCTGAAATGATAATCTCACTTTCAGGATAAAAAAACATTGAAAACCAAAACATTAAACATAGACAAACACAAAATTCCCCCATACTCCTTTCAAGACATGCCATGTGGTATGGAACCTAATTCTGCAAGGAACCTGGCACCTCCAGCTCTTACTGAGATTAACGAAACTTGAGTATCCAGCACTTCACAGGATTGGGCTCCTGGACAGTTCAAGCCTGAAGTTTGACTTTCATATTTCCCAAGAGCAGCATTTACAGATGCATTCTGAAATAATCTAAGTCCCGATTCTGCTACCTTTCTCATGCTGACTAGAATTTTACTGTTGGAAAGATTCCCATTGACTTCAATGGGCGTTGGATCCAAGCCATTTTTGAGCATGAGTAAAGGTGGTAGAGTGAAGTCCAAAGTTGTTAGTACTCTGTGACCTAAAATGAAACAAGCTTGACCAAGATAGAAGGTTTCGTGTTAGCAATTTTGATTTTCTTGCACGTAAAAAGACAGACCGTATTCTGTATTTAGCATGTGAGCACTCTGAAAGAATTTTACACAGGTCTACATGAAAACATACACTTTTTCTGTCTTCCTGTTGTTGAGTATTCACTTTGGACTAGATTTTGCAATCCTTGTTTATATTGGTGAACACCTACTTATGCAAGTAAATTGACTTCAGTGGAACTACTTGTAGATAAAGCTCACCAACATGAGTATGGATTGGAAAATTCATCTTTTTGGTACATTGATTTTTAAAATGAAGGCTTTTTATAAATATATAAATGTGCACTAAAACTTTGTAAAACTCAGTTTTTGCTGCACTCAGAGCAGCATTGCCAAATATATTTTACTTTATTTTGAAGAAATGTTTCATATCAAAATGGGTAGTTTATTTTATGCTGTGTGTAGTATTTATTTCCTTTATATGTTTAGTTTATCTCTGTTTTAAATTAATAGCACTATGTTGTGAACCATTATTAATTATTTCAATAACTTCTTACAATACTATCATTTTACATTCGACATTAAATGAAATACTTTCCATCAGTTAATGCTGGTATTTTTTTCTGACTGATGGCGTCCAGTTTATTTTTACTCTGCTAGGAAAATCTTCCCCCTCCCCCTCTGAAGCAATAAATAACATAAAATTAGAAAACCCTTATTTAGTAGACAAGGCACTTGATTCCATTAAAAAAAGAAGTGAGAATAACCATGTTGGGCACTGATGTGTGAAATGCACCCAGATGCAAAGGACTAGTTGCCATATATTCTAGTATCATCCCTGCACATGTTTTGAAGGCATAAAAATATGTAAACATGTTTCTGTTGGGTAAAACTCCCCAGGAAAAAATCTTTTATTCAGGGGCATTGTTAAGGGCTCTGTTTGCCCAATGCGTGTGTGTGTATGCAAATCCCATATTCTCCTAAACTGGAGTTACATGTGTGCACTGGGGTGATAATGAACTCCTGTGTGTATGTTTCCCTAGCCATATATTATAAAAGCATATTATTCCTGTGTAGTGAAACTGCTTAATATTTGAGCCTGGCTTCTTGTCTAGCTGCTGTTGAAATACAGCCCAGCTGCTACTTCAGTGAGGTGTGTGGGATTTAATGTTTATGAAAGGAAAACGTCAGCATCTTATGACTTTAAAATATCATCGGTCACAGTTAAAGATAAGGGCAAAGCATGACATCAGGCTACACGTCAGGGTGAGTGGAGCCGTAGCCAAGAGCTGGGTGCTCCTTTGGAAAGCCTAGTAAAATGTTAATTTGGCATTGTGGATGCTGAAGATAAAAATAACACTTCAGATACACACCAGAGAGAAATGGTAGTTCTAATCAAAGGCACAGTGCCTCCTTTCATGCTTGCGAACTAGGGCTCCAATTATGTTCACTGCTCTGAAGCTGAACAGAGCTGCTTTGCCACACTTTCCAAATTGAGAGAGGAGAGGCAGAAGACACGTCTTTCAAGGCACGGTTCCAAATAACAGTTAAGCAGAGAAATCAAATAAAAGACCCAACATGAAAATTTATGGAGTTGAAAATATACTTTAAAAAATTGTTTTGTTACTATTCTCATTATTACAGAATCACTGGCTTTATTTGTATTATCCTTTTCTCCCCGCCTCATGGAGGTTAGATTCTTTTACTGCTTTGTATTCCTACAGTGCAGTGTGAGAGTGAACTGCATTTACTTCAGAGGAAATGAGAAAGAACAAAGATCTGCATTTAACAAAACAACACTTCTGAGCCATTTTCAATATCCAAATTAGGAGATTCAGATTAAGATTATTATTAATCTTTTAAAGTAGTACATATCAGGAGATAATATCAAGGACTTGTAGTTTTTACCTGTGTTTAGAAATGTAGCTAATACATTCATGTAAAAAAATCTCATTTTTCTTTTCAGTGGTGTTGAAGTCTGAGAAATGGCAATGCTTTTTCCCCCCAGGCATTCAGCTTATGTTTTAAATATACGTACAACCATCGAAGAATAAGTTTTCTATTTGTCAAGTCAATTTGTAGTAGCAAGGGGATGGTTTAGTAAACTAATCTTGGAAATGAAACTTTGTGTCCTTGTGTAGCATGGTGCCTTTTTCATGATAATGCAGCACACACACACAAAAAGTTATAAAAAATGGTGAACTTCACACACTTGGTGGCAACTTTCTAGACATTTAGAGGGACTACATTTTAATTTGGGGGAGGGGGATTTCAGAATGCATACTGCACAAATGATCGGAAAAATTTTTCCTCCTCCCTATTTTTTTTTTTTAGAGCTGCACATTAAACATCCCAAAATGTGAGTGAGCTGAGACCTTGTTCACTAAGCTACTGCCCAGAATGGCAGAGTTATAAATACCTGTGTGAGGGGTTTCTACAGGAAACACAAACTTAACCTTGATCTATTGGCACAAATAGTGTCATTGGAATAATGACAATGGCAATCACTGGTGGAACAAAGCAGGTAGAAATCTATATAAAGAGATGAAACATTACAAAAGTTTATAACTACCTGACCAGTGATAGTATAGTGGTTTGTTGTTTTGGGGTTCTATTGTATATTTTTTTCTGGATACATACATTTCTCCAGCTGTAACATGTATTTGTGGTTCAGCAAAGAAATGTTGAACAATACACAAATGTGAACAATTAAAATGGAAAGGAAGAGACAACTCATTTTTTCCTTGTATTCCCCCATAACCATCAGCTTGCATTTGTTTTTTGCCTTAATGCTTTAAGGAATGGACATCATAAAACACAAGTCGTGTATTTGTAGCATCACTTAACTCAAAAGGCAATAGGCAATGGATCACAGTCAAATAAGGGCTAATGAGAACACAGAAGAACATGACAATTGAAAGTCTCTGTTGACTAGTGAACTAAATCTGCCGGCTGGACCCGATTGTCTGATGAAGAATTGAATGTCAGTATCATTTAGGGTTAACAATGGTCCAACACAAGCAAAAGCAGACAGCTATGAAAAATAGCCGGCATGGTAGCCATTCTGCAGAGACCATGGATGCAAACTTGATAATGAGGCACTTCATTCACCACATCTTTCTGCTCTAATTACTGAGGTGAATAGGAAATACTTCATCTAAGGCGGGAACAGGCTAAAGCAAAAACACTTGTTTGGTAAACACAGAAGTTTTTTTAAAAATGTTTCTTTTCTTGCATCTATGAAATTAGTATGAACTTCAGTTTCATACTTACCATTGCATTAGCATGTGTGCCTGTTCAAAGTTTCGTCTCCAAGTACAATGGGTGTTAGACATTAGCTCTGTCCTAGTGTAGTAGTATATTTTTAAAAGTGTACAGCCTCCAACTGCTTAAAACTAAGCAGCTATAATTTTAAACTGAATCACCAACTAAACTGCTTCAGTTTTACACAGGGCTGATGTAACAGCTTAACTAGTTTTCCACCATTGACTTAAAGTCCAATTTAGAGCTTATACTAACTATTCATTTTATAAAATACCTACTCTCTCCAATTGAAGGAGTAACCTAGAGTGCCAGAAAAAGTTACATCAGTAACAAAGTATAAAACTGGGCACACTTTCAATGCATATGGTACAGTCTTAAAAAAAGTAGTTGTAGTAGTCTGGAAGTTGCGGGGGGGTGGGGGGAGGAAGAGAAGTATTTGCTGAATGTTAAAGGAGATGAAAGGTTAATTTACAGGTCTTTCATATTTTTTGCTTAGCATTCTGTCCTAAAACTACCCAGAATGTTTTGGAGGAAATAATTTATGGATGTGCAACTGTGCCTGTAAAAACATACTGCATCAATTCAAAGGTTTGTATTGCTTAAAAGTATCAATGTGTGCATTTGGAACAGAACTACTGAGCGTAAGGAATAAAAGGGAGAGGAGGTTTGAAAGCGGTAAATGAGCAGCTTGAGAAGAAAACTGCTGTCTGGGGCAGATTTAGGAAAATGTAGCAACTAGGAATTGGAGCTTGAGAAGAAGGAACAGAAGAGAGTGGAAAGGCTCATTATAACAGAGCTTTGGTGGCTTCCGTCATGTTTTTTAATCTTTAGGAGCTAAGACCTTTTAATCATCCCACCAAGCTCTTCATCCTTCTGTGGTGTGTACGCTGAGTTCCATGCTATTTACTGGGGTCCTTCAGACTAAACCTTAGAAACTAAGAGGGAGATTCTGGGCCGGGCCTCTAAGAGGCGCAGCATGGAACTCTCAGCCCAGGGGGAAAGGGGGCTATGGTGGCTTTGTGCCCTCCCACTCCTAGGCTGCTCCAGGGCCTGGAGAGGAACCTGTCATAACTTAGATGGGCGCTGCCAGTAACTGCTGGCGCTGTGGTGCCACAGCCCTATCCCTGACATGGCCCCCGATCATGCAAGCTACTCTGTGTGAGCAGACCCCTGTGCCCAAGTAGAACCCCATTGAAATCAGAGGGGAGGGGGCAGTCAGTGTGTGAGCAGGGTTCCACGTGGCTGGAAAACTTTTCAAAATGAGGGGCTATGGTTTACACATTACTTTGCGATCCTTCAGGTTCAAAAGGCTGTATTTTCATTGTGCTCTGACAAATGTGGATGGCTACTTTGTATTTCATCTAACAAACTCCAACCACCTGACTATGTTTTGTCGCTATACTCTTTGCACTATGGTCGGCTGTGGCCAACCAGTTTTACAATTCCTGTCTAATGCTCAGATGTGAATATTCAGTAGAAACTGCAGATGCCACTTTTAGCGGAAAAAAGTTTCCACACCGGTAAAGAAATATCAGTAAAATCTATGCAGTGAGAAGACATCAAATTCTTGTTATACTTATATCTCCTGCACAGGCAGGGAGTATAATAAACTAGTCTGCAGCAGCTGTAAATTTTCTGAGGATTTATCTAACCACAAATACATTGAAATGGGGAAATGGGGCTATATTAAACTGTGCAAGATGCTGCTGGAACTTAGCCATTTCTGCAACATCCTGTAATTAATTTATTATGACAGGTCTGGCAAACTGAAACACCCAATACACTTGCGACAGACTGTTATGATATAGCTGTTTGAAAACTCTGTAGTCACATAACATGCAGGTATAGCTGAAAAAATACAGCAGGGAAATATTAAATTGATACATTATTTCTCCAGAGATAGCAATCATTCCCAGAGCCACGTTCTTCAAACCCTTGGAATGGCCCTGGGTAAGTATATCTAGACAGAATTCTCCAGAATATACAAACTTGGATCCTGCTCCTCAAGGAGTCAAAGTGATAGACCAGGCAGAGATACTCAGAGCATAGAATCAGAGAAATGTTGGGCTGGAAGGGACTTCAAGAGGTCAGCTAGTCCCCACACCATGTTCAGCAAAAGCAACTGTACCCCACACATTTTGTGAGTCCAGGCTGAGCAGCCTGTTTTTGCCCCTCTGGATGTTGGACATGTTCAGTTTTGTTCAATAATATTGAAAGAGGACACCATTTATTTTGTTTCAAGAGCTGAAAAAAAATAATACTCAAAACTACAAAAGGGTTTTTGGGGGTATGGCTGGTCCACTTTAGAAACAGGGTCTGAAGAGGCTCTCTGTTTA